GTTAAATCTTAGCGTGAGTTCGACGGGTTAGCTCACCGCAGACTAATGAACCTCACTCAGAGAATGATAGTTATATATAGAAATATATTGATTCAGTTCTTGAAAAGGATTGTGGACGATTTATCCAGCTATTAAAAAAGCATGAATTGAAAGCCAAATGCTGCTAGTTTTTTAATGTGAAGGCCACATGACAGATATGACTTTTATCTCATGATAAATGCTCTCGCAGGAAGGGAGGAAGGAAACAGAAAGTTAACACTGGCGCGGTTTTCGATTTGCTGAGTTCCCCCTTGAGTTCAAGCCCCAATAACAACCTTTAGAAGTTAAAATAAAGAAAAGCATACCTACAGTTGTTATATCGCATGGGTGATTTATTCTTTTAAATTTAGTAAAATCTTGATCAGTAGCAAGTTATTACTTGAGGTTTTTGTTGCACTGGGGTTAAATTATCGCCATGCCATTACAGAACTGTCTGAACACAACGGAAGTGTCGGAAAAGCACGCTCTCCAAAGTTAGTTTTTTTTGAGCTGTGACTGCCAATATTGAAAGGTTAATCTTGGAAAAAATGCTAGAAATGTCACCCAGCTGACCGCATAAACTTATTGTGAGCTGACAAACTTACACTTCTTCCTTCTGGCAGGATGGCGACTGTCATCTGTTTATAATAAGTTTAATGGCTTCCTTCCCAGCTATTTACAAATGAACAGCTGCATCTGAAATGTTTATCAATGCCGCTAGGTGTTCAGTGAATTTTATTTTAGGTCGCGGATCACCTGCTTATTTGCCAACAACTTGTCCGATGTCTGCAATTTCTGCCAAAAAAAATTCTTGTTTCTTACGCAATGCGATCCCCCGTTGCGAGTTAATTCCAGTGATCACTTATTTTTTAAGTTTTAGCTCGGAAAATTCGTATAGAATCAAGTGGTGGATGTGGGTCTTAATTTTGTATTACTGTTATTTCTCGTGACGTGGCCATGTGTCCGCGTGACTGTTCAATGAGCTTTGGTAAAGGTAACCATGTCTGTCACATTTAAATAGCCTCGAAATCACGTGAGTTTGACTCAAGATTTCTTTCGCTTGTATTAAATTTGGGGCATTTCTCAGTTTATTGAACAAATACCTTCATTTGCCTTTTTAGTTTCCACATCTGTATTATCTACATCTGTAAACATTTGTCCTTAAAAATAAAACATGCGTTTCGATTTCCTTTCGCTCTTAAGAGGTAACGCCTGAAGTTTCTTGGTACCTTAAAAGTGCAAGTTGTCGAGGCTATTTATAGAACATGGATTTGGGAGAATTCTTAACCCTTTCGTTCAGTAAGTTATTCCAAGTAATTTTCATGACCGGTTAATCGTATGATTATGTTACTAAGGTTGGAGTATTTTCACTAATAAATTCTAAATCGCGGAAACCACAACACAGCTTTGAGCTTCTATTAAAAGCATCTGGTTTATCAGCGATGACGTAATCGCCTCAAGGGAAAGTTCCGGAAACTGTTGAGGGGAGTTGTATGCAAATTTACTGTTGTTACTTCATAGCCTAACATAAAAATTCGCCCGATCTACGTGCCGGAGAGTTACGATCTGATATTGGACTGCTGTTCTTATTACAGAAGCTTAAAGCGGTATTTCAACAGCGTGAATTTTGTCATATTTGCTTGTGGTAAAAAGGGAAAAACGTGGATGAGTCGCTTCTGAACTCGTGAAGATGGTCAACATGGTAAGATTTACTGTCATCTTCTCAGTCAACTAATTAGTACGGCGTTTCATAGCTTGTAAGTTTTACATCAGGGCGATTTTATGTTGTAGTTAGATTTTCTATTTCGCCTTGAATCTAATCCATGTTCCGTGAAGAAACCGAAACAGTAGCGTAATGGGAATCGAGACAAAATTGACTGAGGTCGCGGCATGATTTCCTTTATTTACAGCAAGGAAGGTTGACTTGATTTCGTGACTTGCCGGTATAAAGTGAGATGTTTGGCGGAGCTAAGCGGAGTATATTTGGAACACAAAACGGATGGTTGATTTCTCAAACGGCAATTTGGTGGAAAAGAAAAAAAGCTGTTAAGAAGCGATTTAAAATGTAAAACTGATAATCGCCCATTGAAATAATTTTTACAAGAGATTTACTGTTCTTGAAATGTCTGTGGTCAAAATTATCTTCAGCGTTCGCCCATGCCATTTATTAATCAGAGGCAGGTAATGGTATATTTGAAGCGGACGCTATTTGTTTCGATCATAGTATTTATAAGTATTGCCCCTAAAAGTGAAAACTACTTTCATTAGGACAGAAAGCGTAAATCTATGTAAATTTTTCGGTTTAGCGTAAAAGATCTCATGTCAGAGATATTTACTTGGTTAAATAATCATGCTTAAGTCAATTTATTAACGATTTAAATATTTCTTGTCGATCGTTATAAACCACGCCATTGACACTATTCTTTCTTATGTACATCAGCTTTATCTACTGGTTAAACCATAACAACTGCTACCGGTAAAATTACACGCGCAAAAATTATTATGTTTTGTCTCAAAAGTTCGCTGCGTTAGTGGTATTTCCGGTTCCGGTTTTGGATGAAATAGTTTGGCGTGGCTTAGTTAGCCTCGTTTTGATAGCCGAGCTTGTTCAAGGAAACCGTGTTTTTGGAACAGTGACTCATTTCGGTAGTCAAGAAGAGGAATTGGGTTGGGAACGTGGAGAAATTCAACATGCCTTTGGCGTATTTAGCCGACCCTTGGCAGAAAATGAAAATACACGAAGAGACGGAGGTGATTTTATCTTATGACAATTTGCGATCTTTGTGCTGAGTTTCAATTTCAATTTCTGGGGTCGAAGCTCATTCGATAACTCTACATATTCACAATCTCCTAGGTTGCAGATGAAGAAATGACTGATGAAAATAAAAATGGAGTAAGCGAATCTTTTGGCGTAAAATTATGTTAAGCTCTTATTGTTTGTCCGTAAAATGCTAGACCAAGGCCCACTGTTTTGTATTTACAACAGCCTTTTGAGGAAACATCTTCGCTTATCGATGTTGCCGAAGAATTTGTGAATTCGAAGGCATGCCAGAAAGCCGACCCTTCGCAATTCGAACTGCTGAAAGTTCTCGGACAGGGATCCTTTGGCAAGGTAAGTTTTAATGTCCTTCTTGTTCGCTTTTAGTCTTACTAATCCTTGTCCGAGCAAGGTGAATAAATCTTAAATTGGAAAAGGTACTTCTTGGCGTCATAGTGGAACCATGTTTTTGACCTTTGCTTACGTTGTGCCGGCTATTTCACGCATTAATCTTTATTTATCGCCACTTCAATGTTTGTGTTTGCTTCTTTAGTTTGTAGCTCATTTATCATTGTTCAAACTTCTTGTAGAACGTTCTTCATGGGGACGTCAAACTATCAAATGTATTGTTTTAGGTATTTTTAGTGCGCAAGTTGACGGACGCCGATGCGGGAAATCTTTATGCAATGAAAGTTTTGAAGAAAGCAACTCTTAAAGGTGAGCATATTCCCCTATTTTTTTTGCTACGCTGGTTAGGATTTTTGTTTTCAATTTATTTTATTTTCAGTTTTTGCGGAAGCGTGGTTTTATCACTGCTCGATGTGAGAATTCGATCCTTGCGTGAGGAGGTGAAATGTACAATCTTCGATATTAAAGATAATTGTGAAACTTAATTTGAAATTCACCGCTTATCCTTTGTGCTCATACTCAAAGCAGTCGGTATTGGAAGAACTAATTGCTTGTCTTGTTAATTTACCTTTTGGATTGGTTTGCGAAAACCCTTTATTTTGCTATCAAATTTGTTGTTCCATATGGTATCGCTCAGTGCATTTTGTTGACCTTTCTCTGAAGGGGTTTAAGGTAACAATGGCCGCTGCTCTTTTTCTTGTCTTTTTACCTACGGCTCTAGTTCGTGATCGTCTGAGAACGAAGAAAGAAAGAGACATCCTGGTAGATGTTCAGCATCCGTTCATTGTTAAACTTCACTATGGTGGGTCTAATTTACTTTGATTAATTATTTTTATTCAAATTTGCTAAAACGACTTTTTAAACCAATATGCACTCGCGGATCATCCAGTAGCCTCTGTGGCTCAATCCTTTACTACCGTGATGTTAAGCTTTGATTCGGGGTTCCACAGGCTTTGAAATACGGCTCCCAGACAGATTTTTTGGAAACTTTAAAATCCAAGGAAATATATATTTATGTTTCGAATTAGAAGTGTGAAGAAAAGCGAACAGCTTGAAGTGTCTAGGCTAGATTTTAAATGAAGATTTGCATGCAGTTTATCGCATTTTGCATTGTTTTTTGTACATTTAAAACGCACATAATATGAATGACTGAATTAATTAATAGATAAACAAATAATGTTGAAAATAATCATGCTAAATAATAGTTTTTGAACAGTGAGTTCAACAGTGAGTGTTGTCAAGGCTAAGTGAAAATGTAGTTGGTTCAAACATTTCCTTATTTGCATTCCCAGCTTTCCAAACAGAAGGAAAAGTTTATTTGATTCTTGATTTTCTAAGAGGAGGGGATTTATTTACAAGGTTATCAAAAGAGGTACGAAAACTGTAAGAATTTCTTATATTGGAGCTCAAATAATTTTGAAATTAAGTTTACCGGTACTTCAATATTTGTGATAAGTAATCATCATGAGGTATCAAGTTTTTCACTCTATCACTGACATCCTGTGGCTGAAGCTTGAGCTGATGATGGAGTTAGTTGTCAAAACTCTGAGGTGGCAAAGTTATCTGGTAGCCAGCCATTGTGTACATTAACCACTTCTTCATGTGTTCTTAGATATTTTTTACAACATACATTTGTTATGTCAAATTTTTATTCCTTTTGTATCTTTATGAAACAGATTATGTTTACAGAAGAGGATGTGAAATTCTACTTGGCGGAGTTAGCTTTAGCTTTGGACCATCTTCACAAGATTGGAATTATTTATAGAGATCTAAAACCTGAGAAGTAAGTATTCTTTTTTTGTAAATCTGAGCATTTCCTAAATATTATTCTCTGTATGTTCTTGAAGGATGCACCAGGCAGTTTGATAGTTTGCTCAATTCTGCCAGCATCTGTTAGGGTTCTAGTGTACACCTCCTTTCTCAAAGCGATTTTGTGTTCTCTTTTGATTGTGGGGTATAGATGACCAACTGCTGGGGAGAACTACTGATAGTGGATATGTTT